GTATGACCATGTATTTAGAGCTGCCGGTATGACCATGTATTTAGAGCTGTCGATATGACCATGTATTTAGAGCTGCCGGTATGACCATGTATTTAGAGCTGCCGGATGACCATATATTTAGAGCTGCCGTATGACCATATATTTAGAGCTGTCGGTATGACCATGTATTTAGAGCTGCCGGTATGACCATGTATTTAGAGCTGCCGGTATGACCATATATTTAGAGCTGCCGGTATGACCATGTATTTAGAGCTGCCAGTATGACCATGTATTTAGAGCTGCCGGTATGACCATGTATTTAGAGCTGCCGATATGACCATGTATTTAGAGCTGCCAGTATGACCATGTATTTAGAGCTGCCAGTATGACCATGTATTTAGAGCTGCCAGTATGACCATATATTTAGAGCTGCCAGTATTACCATGTATTTAGAGCTGCCGGTATGACCATGTGTTTAGAGCTGCCAGTATGACCATGTATTTAGAGCTGCCGGTATGACCATGTATTTAGAGCTGCTGGTATGACCATGTATTTAGAGCTGCTGGTATGACCATGTATTTAGAGCTGCCGTATGACCATGTATTTAGAGCTGCCGTATGACCATGTATATAGAGCTGCCTGTATAACCATGTATTTAGAGCTGCCAGTATGACCATGTATTTAGAGCTGCCGGTATGACCATGTATTTAGAGCTGCCGGTATGACCATGTATTTAGAGCTGCTGGTATGACCATGTATTTAGAGCTGCCGGTATGACCATGTATTTAGAGCTGCTGGTATGACCATGTATTTAGAGCTGCCGTATGACCATGTATTTAGAGCTGCCGGTATGACCATGTATTTAGAGCTGCCGTATGACCATGTATTTAGAGCTGCCGTATGACCATGTATTTAGAGCTGCCGGTATGACCATGTATTTAGAGCTGCCGTATGACCATGTATTTAGAGCTGCTGGTATGACCATGTATTTAGAGCTGCTGGTATCCGTAACAGGCGTAACACAACAGCTAGGCGTGACACAAACAAGCACGTATGCCATCAATAAGTATGAGCTATAAAACAATTAAGTTTGCTTTGCTTAAGGTGGATCATAAATATTACATTTCAAAAGATACATACGACATTCTGAACTCCCGAAGTCGCTGTCTGTATTGAAATACACATTGAGAAGACAAGAAATATACTGAGTAATAGACAGAAAATGTTTCTTTCACTCACCCCAAGAAAGTGTTTCTGTCACTCACCCCAAGAAAGTGTTTCTGTCACTCACCCCAAGAAAGTGTTTCTGTCACTCACCCCAAGAAAGTGTTTCTGTCACTAACCCCAAGAAAATGTTTCTGTCACTCACCCCAAGAAAATGTTTCTGTCACTCACCACAACAAAATGTTTCTGTCACTCACCCCAAGAAAATGTTTCTGTCACTCACCCCAAGAAAATGTTTCTGTCACTCACCACAAGAAATCGTTTCACTCACCTGAAGCCGACTCTTAATGACGTCAAAGGGCATGATGGAAGCCCACGAGACACACCCGGCCACGCCCCCGGACACTATGGCTGCCATGACGCCCTTGTTGTCGGACAGCCCATGGTGTGCCATGTACTTGTGGAGCCCCTCGTAGACCAAGAGGTACAGTCCAAAACTTGGCACATCCCTGGTGAGTCATCAAATGCAAGGGAAAGAAATGCATTACTGGGACAGCGTGACGTGGAGACCACACTAGTTAAGAGGCCAACGAATACAAATGCAAGGGAAAGAAATGCATGACGGGGGCAGATTGGCGTGGAGACCGCACTAGTTAAGAGGCCAACGAATACATGGCATTTACGAACACGATGTATGCACTGATTTTCATTCGCCAATAGACTAATGACATTTGTTTTTATGAACTGCAGCAAAACATTAATTTTCATTAAAATTGCATTTGAAAAATATAATCTGAACATTTCCACATAGTCTCCAATGAACAATTCCATATCATATCTAATGAACATTTCCATATCATATCTAATGAACATTTCCATATCATATCTAATGAATATTTCCATATCATGTCTAATGAATATTTCCATATCATATCTAATGAATATTTCCATATCATATCTAATGAACATTTCCATATCATATCTAATGAACATTTCCATATCATGTCTAATGAATATTTCCATATCATATCTAATGAACATTTCCATATCATGTGTTATAGAACATTTCCATATCATATCTAATGAACATTTCTAAGTCATATCTAATGAACATTTTCTAAGATGGTTGGGCTGCGACAAAAGCTAAATAGATAAAGAAGCAGATTATTTTATTACGTATTGTTTATAACAAAAGGATAAAATTACAAATTTTTACGTTTCGGCCAAACGCCATCGTTAGTTTAACAAACACAAAAATGAGATGAATTTAAAACAAAGTTCACATAATAAATATGGAACAGCGGTGGATTCAATGTACACATATATATTGAATTAACTCAAATTTAGACCGCAAAGACATCTAGCCACCCTAAAACATGTCAAGTCCCTACCTAAGTTATGTTGTAACAATTGCCTACCTAAGTTATGTTGTAACAATTTCCTACCTAAGTTGTGTTGTTACAATTGCCTACCTAGGTTATGTTGTAACAATTGCCTACCTAAGTTGTTTTGTTACAATTTCCTACTTAAGTTGTGTTGTAACAATTTCCTACCCAAGTTATGTTGTAACAATTGCCTACCTAAGTTGTGTTGTTACAATTGCCTACCTAGGTTATGTTGTAACAATTGCCTACCTAAGTTGTGTTGTTACAATTGCCTACCTAAGTTGTGTTGTAACAATTGCCTACCTAAGTAGTGTTGTAACAATTGCCTACCTAATGAACATTGTTAGAAGCCCCTTGTATAAGCCCCGGAGCCCTTCCCTCTTGATGATGTCAACGGTACACGCCAGGGGACCGCTGTAGTAGTTTCTCATTGGTACCGGGCGGGCGTGGAGCGTGGAGCCGCAATCTGGGGAAGAGATGGTCAGAGCGAGTTGGTCACGGTAGTCACATGATCACGGGAGATGGTAAGAGAGTTGGTTACATGATCACGGGAGATGGTAAGAGAGTTGGTTACATGATCACGGGAGATGGTAAGAGAGTTGGTTACATGATCACGGGAGATGGTATGAGAGTTGGTTACCGTCTACTGGTGACATGATCACGGGAGATGGTAAGAGAGTTGGTTACGGTCTAATGGTGACATGATCACGGGAGAAAGATTTGGTTACGGTCAACTGGTGACATGATCACGGGAGATGAAAAGAGAGTTGGTTACGGTCTACTGGTGACATGATCACGGGAGAAAGAGAGTTGGTTACGGTCTACTGGTGACATGATCACGGGAGATTGTAAGGGTCCTCCTGGTTACGTGCTCACTCAATGTATCATATCATCAATGTATCATATCATCAATGTATCATATCATCAATGTATCATATCATCAATGTATCATATCATCAATGTATCATATCATCAATGTATCATATCATCAATGTATCATATCATCAATGTATCATATCATCAATGTATCATATCATCAATGTATCATATCATCAATGTATCATATCATCAATGTATCATATCATCAATGTATCATATCATCAATGTATCATATCATCAATTTATGAGGCAACATATAGACATAGTTTGGGAAACATTTTCACTTCTTAATTGTGGGCGTCACGTGGACACAGTTACGGTTAACATTTGTTATCTTTATCGCGAGGGTTCTTAACCAGCGATGCACGCACCCCATGAGGGCTGCGGGAGGCAGTGTCAGGGGGTACGGGAAGAGCCAGATAATCAGATTCATTTGCATTTTTATTAGCATATTTATCAATAGGGAACTAGCTGTAGGTTTTAAAATAGAGATGGGGTCGAACTGCAAAAAATGTTAACCGCTGCTAAATGGGGTGTTCCAGAGTTATACAAGAGGCACTGTCCATCTATCACCACATAGGGTGTTCCAGCGTTATACAAGAGGCACTGTCCATCTATCACCACATAGGGTGTTCCAGCGTTATACAAGAGGCACTGTCCATCTATCACCACATAGGGTGTCCCAGCGTTATACAAGAGGCACGGTCCATCTATCACCACATAGGGTGTCCCAGCGTTATACAAGAGGAACTGTCCATCTATCACCACATAGGGTGTTCCAGCGTTATACAAGAGGCACTGTCCATCTATCACCACATAGGGTGTTCCAGCGTTATACAAGAGGCACGGTCCATTTATCACAACATAGGGTGTTCCAGCGTTATACAAGAGGCACTGTCCATTTATCACCACATAGGGTGTTCCAGCGTTATACAAGAGGCACTGTCCATTTATCACAACATAGGGTGTTCCAGCGTTATACAAGAGGCACGGTCCATTTATCACAACATAGGGTGTTCCAGCGTTATACAAGAGGCACGGTCCATTTATCACCACATAGGGTGTTCCAGCGTTATACATGAGGTACTGTCCATTTATCACAACATAGGGTGTTCCAGCGTTATACAAGAGGCACGGTCCATCTATCACAACATAGGGTGTTCCAGCTTTGTACAAGACGCACTGTCCATTTATCACCACATAGGGTGTCCCAGCATTATACAAGACACACGGTCCATTTATCACCACATAGGGTGTCCCAGCGTTATACAAGACGCACTGTCCATCTATCACCACATAGGGTGTCCCAGCGTTATACAAGACGCACTGCTCTCACTATCACCACATGGTGACCCAGCGTTGTACAAGACGCACGGTCCATCTATCACCACATAGGGTGTTACAGCGTTATACAAGACGCACTGCTCCCACTATCACCACATAGGGTGTCCCAGCGTTGTACAAGACGCACGGTCCATTTATCACCACATAGGGTGTCCCAGCGTTATACAAGACGCACGGTCCATTTATCACCACATAGGGTGTCCCAGCGTTATACAAGACGCACTGTCCATCTATCACCACATAGGGTGTCCCAACGTTATACAAGACGCACTGCTCCACTATCACAACATAGGGTGTCCCAGCGTTGCACAAGACGCACGGTCCATCTATCACCACATAGGGTGTCCCAGCGTTATACAAGACGCACGGTCCATTTATCACCACATAGGGTGTCCCAGCGTTATACAAGACGCAGTGTCCATCTATCACCACATAGGGTGTCCCAGCGTTATACAAGACGCACTGCTCCCAGTATCACCACATAGGGTGTTCCAGCGTTGTACAAGACGCACGGTCCATCTATCACCACATAGGGTGTTCCAGCGTTATACAAGACGCACGGTCCATCTATCACCACATAGGGTGTCCCAATGTTATACAAGACGCACGGTCCATCTATCACCACATAGGGTGTCCCAGCGTTATACAAGACGCACTGCTCCAGTATCACCACATAGGGTGTCCCAGCGTTGTACAAGACGCACTGTCCATTTATCACCACATAGGGTTTTCCAGCTTTGTACAAGACGCACTGTCCATTTATCACCACATAGGGTGTTCCAGCGTTGTACAAGACGAACTGTCCATTTATCACCACATAGGGTGTTCCAGCGTTGTACAAGACGCACTGTCCATTTATCACCACATAGGGTGTTCCAGCGTTGTACAAGACGCAATGTCCATTTATCACCACATAGGGTGTTCCAGCGTTGTACAAGACGAACTGTCCATTTATCACCACATAGGGTGTTCCAGCGTTGTACAAGACGCACGGTCCATTTATCACCACATAGGGGGTTCCAGCGTTGTACAAGACGCACGGTCCATTTATCACCACATAGGGTGTCCCAGCGTTGTACAAGACGAACTGTCCATTTATCACCACATAGGGTGTTCCAGCGTTGTACAAGACGCACGGTCCATTTATCACCACATAGGGTGTTCCAGCGTTGTACAAGACGCACGGTCCAGTTATCACCACATAGGGTGTTCCAGCGTTGTACAAGACGCACGGTCCATTTATCACCACATAGGGTGTTCCAGCGTTGTACAAGACGCACGGTCCATTTATCACCACATAGGGTGTTCCAGCGTTGTACAAGACGAACTGTCCATTTATCACCACATAGGGTGTTCCAGCGTTGTACAAGACGCACGGTCCATTTATCACCACATAGGGTGTTCCAGCGTTGTACAAGACGCACGGTCCATTTATCACCACATAGGGTGTCCCAGCGTT